GGATTTGCTTTTTAATACTTACAATCAACAGAATATTTCTAATAAAAATTTTCAAAAAGACACCAGAGAGAACATTTAAAAAAATCAATCAGACGGTCACGGTCATCAATCACCAACTTGTTTATTTCAAACAGCGTTGCGCGCAAAGGTTTGTGGGTAATATGAGGGTCCAACTTGCCCCGAGTCAAGGGGGCCAACTAGCCCCGGGTGCACATTATTTATTTTAAAGGATGGTAGCCATTTATGGTGCTAGAATGAGCAACGATGATACATCTCTGTGAAACTTGAAACAATGAGCTTCAGTTTGATGTCCTATACATATCTTATATTCGATCAAAAGCCTATGAAAATAGATTTTGAAATCTCTTAAACAAAATTACTTTTAGGTGCAAAAATCGTTTATTTCGACTCACCGCTTAAGGAAAACTTTTTAACGTCCGACACTTCCTTAGCATTGTAGGCTACGGTCACTTTGCAAGAGTATGTGGCCAATTTTTTTACCTCGTAGTTACTTTTTCATAAATTGACGGGGGGCCAACTTACCCCGGGGTCCAACTAGCCCCGGTCTCCCCTATTTTAATTTTTGAAACCACAGCCAACTTTCCCAACACTGCTTCTTTGGCGCAAAAAGACATTGAAGGAAAAACAATTGTTCATTTTGACCAAAGATGGATTTTTCGTACTTACCAATGGTTAATGGATCCGTTTCGACATTCACAGTGGGTCCCTGTTATTTTTATTTATTAATTTTAATAATCAAAAGTTTGGTTATTTGTTACAATCTCTTACGAGATTATCACTGAGGGTAGTCTTCTATGGAGGTAACGTGGTCCGATGGCAGGCAAAGATTCCAGATTAATCGCAATAACAGCCGTTTGGTGGTTAAAAGGAATTTATTATATTTTTATAAGTTGTTAACAATGTATTTATTGTGAAATATGAATCTCATATGAAGAGTTGTATCCTTAAAAGAAAGATACAGCAGGTATTAAATAATAGTTAATCTTTAAATTTGTGTTATTCAGAGGTAATCTATACAAATCATCGCTCGACCCGTCCTTGTATTAGGATTCGATATTTTATCAATCTTTGATTTCATTATTTTGTTCTGAATGACCGGCCATTGATTTACAACAACATCTGTCTTCCTTGCTGATACATCCACAATGCACATACCGGCCATGGCTTCGTTTTCACTGTATGACACTGTGCACTCTTGAGTCTTGACGCGCAGTGGCGGATTTAGAGGGGGGGTCAGGGGGTCCTGACCCACCTTCGATTTCTGGTCCCCTCTTGAAATTAGAATTTTATCTAGCTGAATCATAGGGTGCTTTCCCAGAGATTTAGATCGATCTAAAGATTAAGATTTAGATCGACCTAACTCCCTGGGGGTTCACGCTAAATTGCAGTCAGCCGAGCGGGCACCATAGTTAATTACCCCCTTACAGCTTTTAGTAGGCGGGACAGACGCTTAAGCCGGCCAAGCTGACAGTAATCTAGTGAGACTTCCCACAGGGATAGATCGATCTAAAAATCTATGCGAATACATATGGAAATGGAGTGATAGTTCTTAACCGTACCAAATGGCACCGTTCGCACTCTAAAATACCAAAAAATTTTGGGGCCCCTTCAGCGGGCCCAGAACCCCACGTCAAGTGGGGGACGGGGGTGGGGCGGCTCCGCATCCTTGGACCCCCCCCCCCCCCTTTCAAATAATCCTGGATTCGCCCCTGACGCGGTCTATTTAAACAAAGAAATAGACAATATCTCTTTGACTTGAATGACAGAAAAAACACAATCAAATACTTTTTTCTCGTAATGTTTTTAAAATTATATCAACTGTTAGAATTTTAAATTATATGACCTATTCCATATGTATTCGCGCGGCTAAAAATGGGCGTCCCCAGCATCCCGCTCTGAAGACTGACGTGACTGGAGTAAGTCCCCCCTCCCCCCAACCCTGCCCCTTGTTTCTTCAACTCAATCGTTTGCTGGTTCGTATCCAGCCTTTCTCTACAGCGAAACAGTTAACGCGGTCTGCAACATTACGGGGAGACACAGGTGAAATATAGATTTTGCCAAGATGTCTGCAAAGTTTTAAGGTGCAAAACTGGACAACTTGATCAGTATTTGGCTTTTTAAAAAGTTTTTAATGTACTCAATTTTTGAATTGTTCCAAGAGTCCCAAATATTTTGCTGGT